ACTGGTTGAAAATTTCAGCGCGTCTCTTACTATTTACTAATACGGCTCAAAGTTAAATGTGAGCAATGGGACAGTGGGGTTTCTGTTATACCGATCTTTCAATGATTCAACCTTCTTGCTTTTGTTTTTTACCTGAGTACAAACAAACGCCCCTAGCATTGGCGAGAGACACGCAATTCTTTCAATCCCGAAAGAACGCGCTTGATTTTGTGGTTAATAAAATTTTATGCAACGCAGTTAATATGTAATGTATCATAGCTGCCAGCCTATTCTTCAGTCTCCGGGAATTACATTGCGCATCCAGTATTATGGATATAACAAATGTCTGTACACTTCAACCGGGAGTGGGGTTGACATCAGAACCGTTGAGTAAGGGTCTGAAATTAACATTATAAAAAACTGGTCTCTTTCAATCTTTCTATCTTCTACTTTCTGTGTATATATATATATATATATATATATATATATATATATATATATGGCGGACTCTCCCGTCGTGTTCGACGTATGAGAGTCAAACAGTTCAGTTCCTAGGAACCGACACATATGATTTGATTATAGTGGTTAAGTCTTTGTGCAGCACCAACCACACTTTTTGAAGGGCTGAATACAGTGACCTGGTGCACTACGTGGCACAAGGTCCCCAAACAACCCTCCGCAGGTTTTGAATTCAGAGTTGTCCTTCTAGACTAGTTCTCATCCAAGGCTATAGAACCCAGTCTGTCCTGCTATTTACCTAGCTGGAAGGAGAAAAAGAGGATTAATACCTTTCGCAAGGTATATATATATATATATATGAGTTCAACTCAAGCAAGGCTTGGTTGATCTTGTTTAGGGCATATCAACCTTTATGTGTTATTTAATGCCGAAATCTAAATATTTTGAACACAATCTTATGGCTTCAACTTCAGATAAAATGCATTATTAGTAATTCTGCAATAAATAAATATTGTTGGTAATTTTTATATATATGTTGCTGGTATTTTTACTATAATAATGTATTTTATAATTTCATAGACTTATTTTAGTTTTTGGGGTCACTATTTGCCCGTAGCTGGGACTCTAACAGGTGCTACTACCCGGGTCAGTAGACATGGGTATAACAGCATTTAAGAGGTGGTTCCACTCTTCTCAAAAGCTCCAATCTCCCAATCATACGCTTTGCTGCCGGATGTAGTTTATCGTCATACCCAGGACTACCCAAGCAAGGCAGTAAAGTCAAGAAGTTGTTACTGGGTGCGGAAGAATTAGAAACAGAATAATTACTAAGGAGCGAGAACAAAAAGAAGAAGAATCAGGAGGACAGTAGACAGCGATTGATATTGTATTTAAATTTTTGAAGATTAAAGTTAGTTGGAAAGCATGGAACCGGAAGGGAGTTCCACAAACGAGAAATGCAAGAAAAGAAACTGTTATTGTAGAACTTACGGTTACATCTATCCAGCTCAACTATAATTTGATGAGAACTAGTCGCCAGTCCAGTACCGCGCTTAAATTCATAAATTCTAGGTACCATAACGAAGAGAATATCCGAACAATTACCATGAAAGCATTTATAGAAAAGGCAGAGGGAGACAACTTTACGGCGTTGAGAAAGTGACTGAAGCCGAGACATCAGGTCAGGACTAATAATATAATTTTTCTTTGGATTATATCAAAGTCATATATATGTTATCACTTTAATGTTATTTTTAGTGTATACCCATATTTGAGCTCCGATTATTTATAAAACAGTATATGTATTTATTTTCGTATACCCGCCTGAATATTTGAGTAATCTTATTAAAGAATTTATATATATATATATATATATATATATATATATATATATATATATAGTATTTAATAAATAAACGGAGCTTCTACTCAAATATGGGTATTCACTAAAAATAACGTTTAAACAAAAACTTATTTATCGCTGTAAATCTCAGTGCGATCGTGATTATATTGCCAAAACCATTCAGCGACTAGAGGCGAGGATTGTACAACATGAGATTGGTCCTATTGGTAAGCATATACCGGGCATTCATAGAAAACACGAGTCTACCATTGGTGAACACTTGTTAAATATAGGTGCTTGTAGGAACAATTATTCAGAAGAATTCTTTTCTGTTCTGCGCAGAGCCCGGACAAAACTCCATCTGAATATCTTAGAAGCTGTTGTGATTAACAGACAACGTCTGACCCTGTGTAGACAGAGGGAATTCAAAAACAAATTGAAATTGTGTGGGGAGTCATTGACACAATCTGGATGACAATCACGATCTACTCTTTTTTTCTTTTTCTCTCCACGTCTTCTTTTAATATCATATTTAAAGGAACCACCTGTCAGTATCATTTTAATACCGACGATTCACTTCTGACGAAATGTCGGTCGAAAGGTGCCTTAAGTTATATTTATTTTATTTGATTTTAATCATTAAATAATAAATTATGATTCCTATTTTAAAACTGGTTTAATCATGGTGCTATACCAAACATCTATTTGCTTTATATATATATATATATATATATATATATATATATATATATATAGATAGATAGATAGATAGATAGATAGATAGATAGATAGATAGATAGATAGATAGATACTCATACATTCATATATATATTATTTCAAATGTTAATTTAATGTCGATACTCGTATCTGAACTAGACGCCCCATTTTTTATATTTTTAAACAGAGTGTTATACGTCTCTCGGCCTGCGTACTCTTAATAACGAATGGTCAGGGAGAGTGACGATATACACACTATTTAACGTGCGTGTGTGTGTGTGTGTGTGTGTGTGTGTGTTTAAGCGTATTCATTGCTGTCTAGTGTTTATCGTGCAATATCTTACAATGTCGCAATGAGAGAGTTCGACCCACATTGGGTGATCGAGAAAACCGTATTACGGCAACATTAAATACATCTGAAGGAGCATTGATATTGAGGAACTTAAAGAAAGTATTAAATATGAATGCAGTAAAATTACAGATGAAAACTCTGCGACATGTTAATGAATCATGCACAGAATTGAAATGGAGTCTTGAAAAAGAAAGAGGACATTTTGAACAGCATATATGACAATTAAATAACTACAAGGCGCCCATTAAAAAGCGGCAAATTTATTATCACATTTATCTATCAGGAATAATTGACCTTGAATAAATTTCTTGACTGTTCCCGACCTTCAATAATCATTCGTCTCTCGCAAATTACTTAATTCTGATTAGTTCTTTTATAATTGATTAATTACTGCGTCAAGTTATTGTACTTTTCAAAGAAGACCATCCGACATGGGGATTGACGAAATATGCAAAAATTCTTCCTGAATTTTTCAGTTACTTCAGTCGTCAACAGTTTTCAACGGTTGACACGTCTTTCTGAATTTACCGCTTTTTTCACTGGACACCCTGTAGTAAATAAAATTTTCGTGTGTAATTATACTTTTAATAAATTATCCCTATAGTGCGTCATTTTTGCCTTATTCTGCCTTCTCAGATCAGTGATTAAAAATGGATGTGTTATGATCCAGAATGATGATGATATTTTATCATTCTAAAAATAACCTTGCCATCAGTGATGACAGAAAATAAGGATATTTCATTATCCCTAAAATAAAGATAAAAAATTCATCATCCTAAAAAAAACTTTGCCACCAGTGTTCTGGATCATAACAGATGCATGCAAATGAATCCTGTAAGGTCTTGAATAGGATTATACTTTGTTGGATCTCATAGACCGGCAATATAGGATCACAAAAAAAAACTTTACCAAATAACAGAGACTATATCACTTGAGCACTTTCAATATAGAAGCAACAACTAAAATGTATGTCACATGTAACTCAAAGAGAAAATAATGATGTAATCAAAATGTTGACTTTCCACAACGCTTACACTTAGGAAGGAAACACAACAAACTTAACGCAACAAATGTTTAAGAAGGAAATCTCGAATCAATACCAGAAAGCGATAACAGTGAACTTAAAAAACTATTTTCCTGAAAAAACTGAGAAATGTTTTATAAATTTCAGCCTCCAGTTGTACTGATTGTTCTGTTAATGAATACCGAATGCTTCCTTATAAGAGAACGGCCGATCTCACTATTACCATTATAAATCTGCGTGCATGTTTAGAGCTATAGGTATTTAGCAATCCGTCTATGTTTGTAAAATAAGCACGCATTTTATCAAGCCATAATATTGTTGCATGTTTGCTTTATCAGACGGTTTTAGAAATAGATAAGATATTTAGAGTTTAACAACAGAAATCCGTACTGAAGTGTGCTTGGAAGATTTGATAGCCTAACTGGCGTCTAAAAATAAAAGCTCTTTCACGAAATGACCCAACCATTGAATATTAACGAAAAAGTAGCTTACCTAGGGCAAAGGCAACTCAGTCCACTTTAAATTACTTCCCTTGTGACCTAATACACTGTGTTTAAATTATTCCCCTTGAGATGACACAAATATATACGTAGCAGCTGGCGGACGTATCGATGTGTATTTTAAAAAATCACTTGTAGAACTCTTTTCCGGTTTAGTGCTTTCCAGACAGCTTTGATCATCAAAAAATTAAATGCAATGTCAATCGTTATCTACTGTGTTCTTGATTACTCTTCTATTGTTCTCGCTCCTTAATAAGATTTCTCTCTTTTCTTATTTTTTTCACACTCAGTAACCATTTATGCCTTAGTGGCTTTACTGCTTTGCTTGGGATGAAATGATTAAAGAAAAAAAGAATAATAACCTCGACAATCCCACCATATAGCATGACATTATCCTTCTTTCATGAAGCTTTTGGTAGCGGTTGTGGAAATTTACCCTTATCAATTCACTGCCTTTTGCTTTGAACATTGTTGGATGTGAGTGTACTCCAGATTTATTAACTGCCAAGTATAATGATCAGTTAAGAGGATATATTCGTCATTTTAAATTGATTCTCAAAAATGGAAATTACTTATGACTCAACCTAATGTTTGAGATTCGCTCGCTTGAATCCTCCTCGAAAATTTTGTTAATTGTTCGAATCGTATCCGAGGGAGAATGCCCAAATTTCAAGCAAAACTCGATGTATGTTCGCTGTGAATGCAACATTGAGATAATACATGAAATCACACAGTAGCATCTTACTGCTGAATGATTAACCCCAGTAGAGAGTGTCTGTTCATACATGCATACCGTATGTACTCGACTATATTGCGATATTTTATTATCAGTTTTTTACGTAAAAAATATCGGTTAGCACTATACACATCTAATTTTTTTTTTTTTTTGAAAATGATAAAAGTTATGCATTATCGATGACCAGTTGTATTATACACAATTATTTTTTTTTCTGAATAGGCTAAAATTCATGCTTAAAAATTCAGGATTCGTACTATACATGAAGTCGTCTTGTACACGGGTATATACGATAATAAGGTCCACATTAGTGAAGGGCTGCCAAGTTGCATCAGGACTGCACAACTGGTTCTAGAAATATTCAAAATGGCTGCATGCTTTCTAAACAGACTTCGTAGAATATTGGACACTAGCAGCGTGTCTGTGTGTGTGTGTGTGTGAGAGAGAGAGAGATTGAGATTTTACCGACGCAAACGATCGAAAGGACTTTTGTTTTCTCGAAACTAATGTGCAACCAATTTTTAAAAAAATATCACATGATTTATAAGGGGCAAGATGTGTGAAAACAAACTGATGCTGTAGAGGGAATGTGCAGCAATCACGGTGGAAGAGTCTGGAGTGCACTTGAACGGAACCGGAAGAAGTTACTTGACAGTGACGCTTTCTAGTGGTAGAAAAGGGCGTTCCTAAGAAAGCTCTTGAGTGTAATGTATAACGAAGTGGTCAACAGAGGGCATATGCAGAAGTTAACATTTATTAAAGACACACATACACATCTCTATAAATATCGATGTTTAAATATATCTAAAACAATAATAATAAATAAAATTATTACTTACACTTCCTCAAATTCTGAAATCCACTCACCAGGAGACAAAAATATCTTTTTAATCTGTCCGAAATACTTTGCCTCCTTAAAAGTAGACTTAAATATCTGCGAAATTTGGAGTACAGATAAGTAATCATTTTATTTATTTATTTATTTATTTAGATATTTGTTATTATTATTATTATTATTATTATTATTATTATTATTATTATTAATGTTGATGGTATTAGTAGTAGTAGTAGTAGTAATAATAATAATAATAATCATGTTCTATCCCACGATATTGAACACTATGGTTACAAATACTGCATGACTAAAAAGAAAATAACTACCAGAAATACATTTTTCGCCCGTATTTTGGCCTAACATATTCTTTATTATCAAATATCTTTATATGAATCTCTCTCTCTCTCTCTCTCTCTCTCTCTCTCTCTCTCTCTCTCTCTCTCATATATATATATATATATATATATATATATATATATATATATATATAGGAGGAGAGAGAGAGAGTACTGCTAAAAGTAAGTGGACCCTAAGATAATATTGAAAGAAAACACTGTCTCTTTTTTTTTTTGCAGATAATGAAGAAATTTTAATTAAACTATATATTCATTTAAAAAAACTTTATTAAACGAATTACAACCAATTTAAAATTAAGATCTGCAAAAGTAAGTGAACCATACATTTACACTATATATATATATATATATATATACACTATATATATATATATATATATATATATATATATATATATACATATATATATATATATATACTATATATATATATATATATATATATATACATATATATATATATACACTATATATATACTATATATATATATATATACATATATATATATATATATACACTATATATATATATATATATATATATATATATATATATATATATATATATATATATATATATATATATACTATATATATATACACTATATATATATATATATATATATATATATATATATATATATATATATATATATATATATATATATATATATATATATATATATATATATATATATATATATATATATATATATATATATATATATATATATATATATATATATATATATATATATATATATATACACTATATATATATATTGTTCAGTAGTTATTCCTATTATGCAAACGTCTGCTCAGTCACATTTGTATTTATTCACTAGCTCCTGCTTGTGATTTTATATTGCAACTATGATGACCTTGTTTCAGTTACTGGGAGAAAGCGCATAATCTAGCGTAGTCAGCAGTTTATGAATAAAGCCAGTATACCTAAACACTCGGTCACGATGACTTGTGACTTTGTGCTAGCACAACTATCGACGACTCCCAAACAGTCCCATTTGCACAATCCCACTTAAAAATCTTGCGTAAACATGTGGTATGTTTTTCCAAAGCCGCTGCATGCTGAGATCGCCTCTCTATGCCGATAACATGAGGAAGTTACTTTCCTGGCCTTTTTTTTTTTTTTCGAAAATCATCCAGCCATTTAATACTAACGTAAGTGTAGCCAACGTAAAGGCGCATTAATCCACTTGAAAGTAGTTCCCTTGGGACCTAACAATGTCCCTTCCATTTCTCAAAGCAGTGCATAAAATCGTCTCTTGGGATTATCCATCAGCTACTGCGTCTTTAATCAATGCTGCTGGCTTGTGCTAATAAAACAGCTGTTGATATCGTTGAATTTACAAGAATAAACCCTGTGTATGACCCATGAAGTTGTTTTCATATTTGAGATTTGAAAATAATTTATTTCAACTCGCCCCCAAAATGCGACTGTAATTTTACTCAAAGATCATGAACGAAACTGAAAGAATTTAACGACACTTGATTAAAATAAAACCAGGTTAGCCGAGTCAGTTCAATTGTTGACTTAAGATACTTAGCCGAGG